GCTCACTATCTTTTTCTATATCTGAGGTTGACCATCTTTTCATGTCATTAATGATCTATTTTATTTTCTGAGGCATGTTCACATGTGTTGCCTGCTTTTTTATTGGTGCCATCTCCCGCCTGAGCTGCACCTGCAGTGGCAGCCTCCTGGACCCGGAAGGTGCCCAGCCGGGCTGCTGCTGGGAAGGAGTGGTTTGGGGATGCAGGAGCATTCCTCGCACCTTTTCTATGTATCTTCTATGTAGTGTGCATCTGTGGCAGCCAGCGCACGTTCGAGGACTACTTCATACAAAACACCCAGAGCCGCCCTTGTTCCTGTGAGTGAGCAGGTCACTAGGAGTCACAGTTGGAGCTAAGGGGACTTTAATGTGGGGGTGTTGGTGAGGGAACATTGGTGAAAAAATGTTAGGATTAGGTTGTGAGTGTGGGGATGTGCTACTCTGAGAGACAGGAGCATGGCTGGTCCAGGCCCTTCATCTTTGCTGAGTCTCCTTCACTCAATGTCCCTTCTCCTGAGGGGACAGGATACTGTCCAAGCGGGGCCAGGTGGGGACGAGCAGGCAGAACATGGGGCCTGGCCAACTGGGGCCATGGTGGAGGGTCCAAGGATATCCCATGTGTATGAAGTGAAGGTTCCTGTATGAAATCATCACAGGACCCTAACTCAAACATTACACATGACAAGCAGTGTGTCTGAGAGTCCCTGAGGGGCTGAGGGATGGGGACATGGGGCTCAGAGGGCAGCCCCAAGAGGAGATTGGTGTCCTTGCCCTCTGGGGAGGTTGGGGCTCCCTGTGGAGAGCTCCGTGGATGCCGCCATGGTGAGCACCCTGTAAGGGCTCAGAGCTGGGTCTGTGCCCTTGAAGAATTCCAGCCATCCACTCCTGGATGCTGTAAGCCCCTTCCAAAGGGACAGATATTCTTGCCCCCTGATGGTCAAAGGCTGAACATGCATGTGCCAGTGTCAGAGAGAGGGACGCGTTTTTCCCTGTAGAGAGGACCCCGGGGCAGGGTCCAGCTGGCAGAACAGCAGATATGTGGTGGGGGGGTCTCTGCCTCCCAGCCACCTTCTGACTCCCGGAAGCTCACAAGCATGAGTGCTTCGGTCTGAGTCTTCTGGGTGGTTGCAGGGACTTCTGTTTCTCTTGCTGGCAGCTTGTATGGCTCTTTGTGGGGTGGAGAAAGGGGGTATAGGAAGAGAAAATGCTTGGCCCAAAGCCCTGGTGGCAGCTGCAGGATGTGTAGGCAGCCAAGGGGTGATGAGGAGGTACCTCCGAATGAGCTAATCATCCCCACAAGGGAACAGACAAAGTCTCAACATGTTCTGGTCTGAACAGTGTCCCCTCAAATTCCCATGTTGAAGTTATAGGCCCCAGTACCTCAGAATTTGAACTTATTTGGAAATAGAGTCATTACAGATGTAATTAGTTAGGCTGAGACAAGGCCAGACTAGAGTAGGGTGGGTCCTAATCCCAAATGACTGGTGTCCTCATAAAAGGGGGAACGATGGGCACAGACTTGTGCAGGAAGAACAGCCTGAGAAGATGGGGTGAGGCTGACAGGCCAGGGGACTACCAGGAACTGGAGGAAGCTTGGGGTGGATCCTTCCCAGAGCCTGTGCTGAGGCCCCAGACTAAGACAATCAACCTCTGTTGTTTTAGCCACCTGCCTGCGGCACTTGGTTAGGGCAGCCCCAGAAGCCTGTAGTTTTGTATTTGCAGAGAAACTATTGTGAAATAGTGAACAACTGCCCATGGGCCCCAGTGGTTTAATAGGGTACTTTCCCAAGGGTGACCTTAAAGACCTGAAGTCTGAACAGAAAGGGTCACTGAGGTTGCCAGAAAGAAAAAAAAAACAAAACACCTATCTAGCTTTTCACAAAATATCCTGGTGCAAACCAATAAACATTTTTAAGCACTTTGACCCTTGTTTGAGGATAGAAGGAGACTTCCCTGACCAAGTAAAGTAGCATTGTTTTCAGCCCAAAGCTGACTAGACAGGTGTGGATTTCCTGGTTGAGGCTATGAAAATGAATAAAGGAAATCTTGGTTAAAATTGGGGTGGGGAAGCCCTGAAGGGGGTGTTTTCATGCAGGACCGTCCACTGCCCTCTGCAGACTCCAGCAGGAAGAAGCTACCTTGTACTTTCCAGCAGGAAGACCATTTTACTACCCAGGCAGGAGGAAGGTTTTCTCCTCACCCAGCAACAGCCCAACCAATGAAAAGCCACCACCAACCTGAGCTCTTACTCTCCTCCAATGGACTTCTGTTCATAACTGCCCCTCCCAGTTCCTCCTTTTTCTCTGTAAAGCAAGTCTCCCCTTCTTTGTTCTCCAGACTGGCCTATGAGTTTATCATAGTTTTCATGTCCCGAATTGCAATTACTCTGCTATTCCCAACTTTGTTCCTACAAGACGTCAGGCCAGGCACGGTCTCCATGCACAGATTAAGCGGGGAGGGGAGCTGGGAGTATGATAAATGCTGGTGGGCATGTGAACGGTCTGAGAGTCTGGTTGGCCTCTCAGCAGTCCCTTATAGGCACAGACACATGGCGGCTGGGGAGCAGGATGTGGTTCAAAGCCTTTATTGGACTAGGGTGTGTGCACACAGGTACATGAAGGGCCTGCTGTCACAGCTCAGTCTGACGGAGGTGGGTGACCTCCAGAGGTGAGGCGGGGACCTGGGTGCAGGGCTAAGGGGCCGGCAGGGCTGGCAGAGAGCCCTTGGAGGGTGCTGGAAGGTGGATGGGAGTCCAGGGCTCAATGAGGCTGGGCTGAAGGGGAAACAGGGTCTCTCAATGAGGGTCTGATGCACGCCCCGGGGAGCCTCTGGAGACCGGGGAGGGTGTGGATTGCACGGCATCGCTGCATAGAGAGAAGGGGGAGGTGGGCAGCAGTGCCCAGGGCTGCGGGACCTCCAAAGAGCAGGGGGTGGGAGGGATGCTTCACTCCTGACTTCACACCCACACCTGGAGAGATTGAGTCTGCAGCGTTCGGAGCTCTCTCGGTGGATCTGAGTAGCACCAAGGACTGGAGGACAGCACCTGCGGGGCTGGGTCGCAAGCCGGGGTGGGGTGAGGGGCGCTAGCAGATCCAGCGGATGAACCTGTCGAAGAAGCCAGGCTGGGCCAGGCTGTCATAGTCCTTCTCACGGAAGATGGCAGCCGTGTCGCCCAGGCTGATCTTGGACAGTACGTCCATGTCCACATCGCTCCCCACGGCCACCACGGTGGGCACCACGTTCTGCTTGCGCATGGAGTGCACTGCCTCGTCCAGGCTGTTGTTGCCTGTGACGCCGTCTGTGAGGAACACAAAGGCCAGCTCGGCGTGGCGGCGCGCCCCAGCCCGTGTGCCGAGCACCACCTGGTTGATGGCATGCACGATGCCTGAGCCCACGTGCGAGAAGGAGTTGAGGTAGCGCGCACTCTCCAGCGCCTCATGGATGATGGTCACATTGGAGGTCAGAGGGAAGGCCACCTGCTGCTCGCTAGGGCCCCCGAACTGCAGCAGAGCCATGCGCGCGTTGAGTGGGTCGTCATCCCTGCGAGCCAGTGTCAGCCGCCGGGATACCTCCTCCACGAAGCGCCGGGCCTTGTGGAAGTTCTGCTCACCGAGCCGCTCGGAGCCGTCCAGCAGAAAGACGATGTCCACAGGCCGCTGGGTGCACTGGGCCACATACAGCTCTGGGGGGAAATAAGGGTGGTGGGCAGGGTCGACCCAGGTAAGGCCCCGCTGGCTCCGCCCTGGCTGTGCCCCGGCCAAGCCCCCGGAGCCTCAACCCAACCGGGCTATACCCCGCTCTGGTTGAGCCCACTCTACCTGCATCATGTCTCTATGCTCCCACCCACGGGAGCAACATGGAGAGCGGGAGCTTGGGGGACGGCACCCAAAGTCACCCGTTGTTGGGAGCCCCCCACAGCCTCATGGCAGGGGTCAGGAGTCTCACATTGTCTCCTTAGACCCTCGCTGTCTTTCTTGGTTGTGCCTCTACCAGGGAATGTCCCCCAACCTGAGGACAGAAGGCCCTTCCCACCCTCCAAGCACCATCTCTGCCTAGGGCCTCCTCCAGGCTGACCAGGAAGGAAGGAGTCAAGGAAGCCCCTTCACTTGGCCTAAGAGCTGGATACTCTCAGAGGGGCCACAGTTGGTTAGGGAGTCGGGTTCGGGGTGGGAGAGAGGGGCAGGGAGGCTGTCATCATGTTCGTAATTGTGTAAAAAGACCTCTTGAAGACCCGGTCCTGAAGACCCCTGGATGCAAGGACCCACCTGTGGCTCTGACCCCCTCAGTCCCTCTGTCCCAGAGCTGCCTGGCGCTGGCCAGACCCCATTTCTCCTGGCCCTTGGAGCATCAGAAAGAGAAGAAGCCTGTGTCCCTTCTGACTGGACAAGGCTTTGGTGGGGAGTGGGCACGAGTGTGGCCAGGCCCCTGCAGTAGCCTAGGTGTCTCACTGCTACTGAAGAGAGACACCGTGCCCCCTTCTGGACAGTTGACCAACCAAGGATGTTCTGGACAACGTGGGGACAAGGCTGGGCCTCTGGGGGATGTGGACCCTGGCACAGCCTGAAAACTTACTCCCCACACACGTGGGACCACCTGCCACAGACATGCAGCCAGGCCGTCCTTCCGCAATGCCTCACTCAAGACCTCAACGCTTGTCACTGCTGGGGCTGGGCAGGGACGGGACTGGCCCTCCCTCTCTTGGCCAGCTCCTCAGCCCCATAAGCACCCCTCCTGGTCACAGGCCAGAAAGGACTCTGTTCACAGCCCCTGTTTGCCTACCCTTGGGGCCGACTGCTCGGGGGTCCCCCCAGGAAGGAGGTCCTGACCTGCAGCGCCAATGCCCAAGGGCCTGGGCCCAGGACCTGACTCTGCAGAGGCGCCCACCTGCGACAGGTAGGTGACTGCTGTGGACCAGCCTCCACCCAGCGGCAGGTCACCCCAGCACATAACTCAACCACAGCAAGGCATTCACATTTTTTGTTTCTCTGATTTTATAGAAGGGTTAAGATGTGCTCACATCTACAGGACACTCTGACCGGGGTGTGTTGCTACGAGGTGCCAGACGCCAGCAGACAGGATGCTTTTTTAAGGAGCTTGTTAAGGACATAGCTTATTTTAATGGCAGTGCAAATGAAGAGCAGCTTCTGTTTGAAACGCACACAGGTTCTCTGAATGCTCTGACTTCCAGTACTACAAGCATATGGACATGTGGGGACGGGGTTGGTTTGGGGGAAGTTTTCCTCAACAAGGGGTGACTGGGCATAGAGGCCGGAGGCTGAGCCAAGCCTGTTGGGGTGGCCAGAGGGCTCTGCTCCTCCCCTTCTTTCCCCCACTGACCCCCACCCATGGCAGGGAGCCTGTGCAGCAGGGAGGTAAGACCCCGCCTACGGGAACAGGGCCTGGGGGCAGACAGGAGAGGGTTCAGGGGCACCAGCCCAGGACAAGGGCTCCTCTGTATTAACCCGGCTTCTAGGGAGTGGGCCCCAGGGGTCTGAGCATGCCTTTGAGATGGGCTGCCCCTGTGGTTCCCTGAGGGCCTGCGGCAGGTGGAGGATGAGGAGGTGGTGTCTGTGGTTGCTCTTCAGTCTGTCAGCTGGTGGCTTTGACAGGTTTGCCCTCATGGGTGATTCTTACAACCCCAAAACATGTTAGACAGCTCAGCTGGACTGGGGGAGGTGGGGTTGGCTGAATACTGTCCTCCTAAAATGCCTATATCCTAATCTCGAAGCCTGCAAATGTGACCTTATACAGGGAAATAAGGCTTTGCAGATAGGACTAAATTAAGATTTTGAGGTGGGAGATTGCTCAGGGTTACCTGGTTGACCCTAAATGCCCCCTGTGTCCTTATAAGGGAGGCAGAGGAGGAGTTAGGCTACAGAAAGGAGGCCATGTGACCATGCAGGCGACTAGGAGCTAGGAGGGGCAGGAAGGCCCTCCCAGCAGCGCCTGGAGGGAGTGTGGCCCTGCCGACACCTTGATTTTGGTGTCTGACCTCCAGACTGAGAGACTCCTGTTGTCATGACCCCTAGTGCACAGCGGGCAGCCCAGGGAGCAAATGCGGTCCCGTGGGGGCAGCTCTGGCCTCTCTGAGCATCGGCAGCCCTGTGGCTTCAGCAGAGTGCCAGTGCGGTCTCAGGGTCGCCCACAATGTCCCTATGCACCAGCTTAAAAGTGTCAATGAACAGTTCCATCCATTCCTGCCGCTCGCCTCCAGTGGCGAACTTGGCCCGCTCAGCGGTGTAGACCAGCACGGCCACCAGCCTGGAGTAGGCAGCCGGGTCCTGCGTGAGCTCCGTGGCGTTTAGCAACTGTTGGATCTGGGGGATGGTCGTGGGGAAGGAGGCGTCCGGGCCCTCTTCCGTGCGGAGGAAGGTGACCGGGGGCGCATCGCCAGTCCGCGGTCCATCTGCGGGGCATCCAGAGAAGGCTTTAAGGGACTTGGTTGGCGAGAGCGGGCCTTCAGCCGCCCTCCTCAGGCCTCTCTCCTCAGAGGTGAGTCAGAGCCAAAGCCAGGAATGGGGCTGAGGCTCAGCCAGGGGCTGGATGAGGAGACAGAGACCGGGGACGCCGCCGGGGCTCTGGGGGCAGCAGCAGGACACATGCCAAGGAGATGGAGCAGAAGGCCTTCTCGTCCTCACAGACCTTACAAACTAACGCCAAGACTCTCGGCTCAAACAGTTGCCCTGAGACCTGAGTAGACTCTGGTATGGCTGCTGACTGCTTGGGCGGACCTTGGCATGAGCGCAGCCCCTTAAAATGCTCCACGTGGCCAGGAGATTGCACTGTGTGTCGCAGCCCAAACCTGGGGACAGGACCCCTCGCAGAACAGTGACTTCTGAAAGCCTGCAGTTATAAAACCTTCTCTGCCCTTGGAGACATACACTTCCACATACCCAGAAATGCCCCCTCAAGGACCTGGGAGTGGCAAACACTTGGGGACGCTCTGGCCCTCTCTCCCAGCCCCCTGGGAGGTCAGGGCCTCACTCCCGTGGGCACCTTGCTCCAACATGCACCGCTGCCTGTTGTCCTAAATGTCTGAGAAGTCTGTTCCTCCCCTGGGTACCTGCCGGTCAACAAATCCAGGGGGCTTGGTCACGTGACACCCCATGCCCCCGTGCCTTTCCTTCAGCGCACTGGCCCTTAGAGAATCCGCTGCCTTTGTTTGGGGGGCGCTGAACTCAGGTTACCCTGAAACCCCTCTCTCCTGCAGTAGTGATCTCCGAGCAAAACCTGTCTTTGCTGCCTTTACCTGGAGTCCAGCTTTGTTTCTCTTTGACACTCTTGTGGTTCTGACACAATCAAGCTGCCCCCAGCCTGGCCCAAGCCCAGGCGTGGCTGGGCCTCCGATTTGGCCCAGAAGGTCAGGGCCATGCCAGAGGTGGTACCATCCCCCCAGCACCTGTTTGCGGTCCCAAAAGGCTGAGGACCATGCCCAGCCTGCCACAGGACAGAGTCCCCGCATGTCACAGCATATTCTATAGTCACATCTGCTTCCTCTTCTCTGGTCACAATGTCTAGTTTACTTGGAAATTTCTACCTCATAGGAGGGTAAGCCCTTGAGTTCAGGAGAGGGTAGTTAAGAGAGTGCAGGGAAAGGTCTTCATGGGGCCGGTTCCCTTTCTCTGTCTCGTCCTGGGGGCTCAGGGGAAGCAAGGTCACTGTCCCGGGGCCCAGCGTTACTATAATGCAGAACCAGACAAAGGCATCACAAGAAACGGGACTGCAGCCTAAGATCTCTCATGAGCAGATACTAAAATCAACAAAAATTAGCAAATCAAACCCAAAAATATATTAAAAAACATATACTCCACGACCAAGTGGGGTTTGCCCCTGGTCTGTAAGGCTGGTCCAACATTGGAAAATCTACTGCCACATCCGTCACATCAAAAGGCTGAACAAGAACCTCACGATCAAGTCAACAGACCCAGACAAATCATCTGACAAAGCCCGACCATTCGCAAGAGGACTTTGAGGGGCGCAGAGATCTTCCTCAGCTTGGCCAGGAGCAGCTATAAAGAACCTCAGCTACCACAGAACAACAGCGAGGCTGGGGCAAGGGTGCTGGGCCCCGGGGGCTGGTTTCACCCTAGAGAGGTCACATTTACTGTGGGGCGCACCCCAGGAGGACTGGGGTGCTCTGGGGCAGGGCACAGCCTGTGGGCTGGCTGGGTCTCAGTGCAGACCCCAGCCCCCTTCACCTGGGAGGGACGGAGTTCTTGGGCAACATCCTGGGTTTTGGGTGGTTCTGGCCGCCACACACAGCCGCCCCCAGTTGGCTCTGGGGACCCCAGGCCCAGGCAGTCTCTGGGATGGCCCCACAGCTTTGTCACAGATACAAATTCGATGAGCACTTCCTTGGAAGTTCTCTGTCAGAATGGGTGGGGACCCTGGCCCCCAACTCAACACCCTTAGGGACCTCAGCACTTTGCTCCTGCCTGGTGGGCCGCGGCCAGCCTGCGAGGAGCCTGCACACAAGCCCAGGAGCGCTGGCCTCAGGCGCGGACGCGGCTGCCCTCCGCCCACCTGCTGACACAGCCCACGCCCTCCACAGCGGCCCCGCCTTTCAGAGCCAGCTCCGGTCCTTGACTCAGCGCTCCCTGGAAGGCACAGGTGGGTGCCCGTGACTCAGCAGGAGGGGCCAGCCATGGCTCCAGGACCCCAGCCAGGGGACACACAGCTTGCCAGCAGGGGCTCGGTGCCTGTGTGGGCTCTGTGGCCCCAGTGTCGTGCAGCTGCAGAGGTGTCAGCACGAAGCCCAGAGGAGTGACAATGCTGTCTTGTCCCTTCCCAGTCCCCTCACCCCCAGAGGATGCCTCGGCGACAGCCTCTGTGCACCCCCAGGGCTCCAGCCACAGGCACGCACAGGTTGGGAGGGGGCATGGTCCCCTAGCGCTGGGCTTGCTGGAGTCTGCCCCTGGAGGGAAGGTGGGTGAGCCCTCTGGCATCCAAGGGAGCCAGCACACCAGCCTCTGTACACTCGGTCACCTCCCAGAAGGTTTTAAATTAGCAAAAGCATTATTTTTACTGGCTGCAGGGCTTCCAGCTGGGGCAGCCGATGGGCAGGGTCGGGGGCATGCTATAGCCCGGGGTATCTGTCTTTCCCAGGCAGAGGAGACCACAAGCCTGAGCATCTGGCCACCAAGAGCAGGGCCAAGCCCTCAACAGCCTCCCCACCCACATGTGCCGGGTGGGTGGGGCAGCTGAAGTCCTCTGAGCCCTCCAGGCCCCCTCCTCAGACCTGCTGAGGCCCAGGGGGCTGTGAAACCCCGGGATCTGGGCTGAGGTTCCAATCTGAGGGTTTCTTATGGAGGAGGGGCCCTGCAGTGCACTTCCCTGCGAGACCCTCTGGCCCTGGTCACTGCTAGGCTAGGGAGGAGGCACTTAGTGGCACCCCGTGTTACCTGTTTGGCAGGGAAGTTCCGGGCACACGATCTGGGGATCTAGGAGAGAGGAAAGGACGCCGGGGATCCCGGTCAGGCTCTGCATCCCAGGGCGGGCAGGGCTCCCTCCATGGCCCAGTGAGCTCCAGCCACTTCCCTCCCAAGGTCCCCTCCCCTCCTGCAGGGACAAGCGCTGGTCAGGCCAGGGGAGGCGTGAGACCCTGCTGCTGCTCACCCGGGCACAGGACGTCCTCCATGTCGTCGATGAACTTCTCAGCCACCAGGTCAGAGAAGAGTGTCATGTTGCGCACCTGCTGGGGCTTGTTACACGCAATGGAGTAGAGGTTCTCACTCTCGTGCTTCTCGTGGAACATGTCCCCGATGCCGATGGCTGTCACTGTGACATCATGCTGGCACAGCGCCTGCAGGTTGAGGTCGTCATCCCGGGGGTCGTGTCGGCCGTCCGTGATGACCACCGCAAACACACGGGTCTTTTTGCGCCGGCTTTCTTTGATTAGCTTGTTGTAGGCGAACTTGAGGGCTGAGGGTGTCCAGGTGCCGCCTGCGATCCATTCAAGGTTCTTGACGGCCTCCTTGAAGCTGGACAGTGAGTCGATGCGCTCATCGTCCAGCTGGATTGCCTCGAAGGTGCCCTCGTGGCTGTACTGCACGACGCCGACTCGGGTCCCTGCGGCGGCCGTGTGCGGGCGTGAGGGGCTAGCCCTGAGCCACGTCACTGCCCGCCCTCGCCGCCCTCAAGTGGTGGCGTTGGGACTCTCGACCAAACTAACGACACCCCAGGACTGGATCTCAGGATGTTCTGCCTGCTGGTCTCCCGCCCCTGCCCCTGAGGGTGTGGTTGACCTGTCTCGGACTTGGGGTCCTTGGCAATGGCCCCCAGCCTGTTGACCACGTTGATAACGAAGTTCTTCTCCAGTGTGAAGTTGGTGTAGCCGATGCTCTCAGAGCTGTCGATGACGAACACCACATCCAGGGCGCCACACCTCTTCTCACAGTCTGTGGGCGGTGGAGGGGCGGTGACTGTGTGTGCCGACCCGGGGCCGGGACTCACACCCAGACCGCGGGGGCGCACAGCCAAGGGCACAGTGGGAAACGATGACCACAGGAGGAGGGTGGGACTCGGACGATGACCCCGGCCCCTGGGCGGGAGCCCGGGGCAGCCCAGCAGCACCGCCGCGAGGGGGCCAAGACTCACCGCAGCACCCGCATGTCTCCCGCACGTAGGTCATGACGTCGCACTCCTGCAACACAGCGGGTCATCCCAGCTGGGACAGTGAACCCAGAGGGAGCTGGGGCGCTGCTCTGGGGAGAGTCTGTGGCCCTGTTCCCCTTGCCTCCGGCCTCGCCCTGCTGACCTCCCTTTGCTGACGTGACCCTAACTCACCCCTGCTGACTTTGCCCTCTGACCTTGCACTGACTCCTGCTCCTGCTGACCTCGCCCTTTGGCACTGACCTTGCTGCTCTAGCTTTTTGATTTTAGGAGGGAGGACACTGAGACTGTCCCCGAGTGACACCTACCGTGAGGCCGGGGTCTCCAGGGGGGCCGGGCTCTCCCTGGAGGAGGAAGGATAACAGTGAGAGGTGACTTCTGTCATGGGTGAGGCTGGGCAGGGTCCCTGCACCCTGGCCCTGAGCTTCCCCAAGGGCAGAGCCCTGCGGTTCAGGGTGTATGCTGGCCTGGCTGGCCCAGAGTCTCTGGCCCGACGGCCCCATGGACCGGCGACTGACCTACCTCAGGTCCTGGGTCTCCTCTTGCCCCCCGAGGGCCTGGCTCACCAGGGGGACCAGGGTCTGCCTGAGGAGGAAAAGGAGAGGTGCGCTCAGCAAACACCTGCGTGGTGTCTGCACACCTCCCTGGTTCGCAGGAGGAGGAGAGGTAAGCAGGGAGGAGGAGGAATTTGGGGGATAGGAGGAACGGGGAGGACACTCACAGTTTCGCCCTTCTCTCCTTTCTGCCCCGGTGCTCCTTTCATTCCGAAGTCACCTCTGCCCCCCTGGGACCCAGGACACACATGTTAGCCTAGTGGAGGGGACGTCTGTGGGAGAGTTCTGCTTGCCCCCTCCCAGCCTCCCAAGGCCTCCAGCGAGTCTGCGGAGTCAGCTGGGGACAAGGATGCCCTTTGTAAAGTGGAGAACCTGTGTCTGGCTCTTGGGGCCCATTAGGTGGCAACAGCACAGGGCATTTCAGGGGACCACAGATTTCGGTTTGGCAGAGACTATACTCAGCCAGCTGGCAGCCAAGCATGAGGTGAGGGGCATGGGGCTCCAGTCACGGGACACAGGGGACAGTCCCACCCCCCAGGTGGGCGCGGGGGCCCCTACATACCTCGGGGCCACGGGGGCCTGGCTCGCCTTTGTCTCCCTGGAAGAAAGCACAGGTAGGAATTACTGGGCACAGACCCCCTGAGAGCGGCTGTGCTGGCTCCCAGGTCGTAGCTGGGGCCCTGGAGGTTTCCTGCAGCTCCCCCTTCCCTTGTGGTGGTCTCAGTCATCATAACCTGTGGGCAAATGCCGCCTGCATGGCGTCCTGCCTATTCCTCGGGGACCTGCGCCTGCACCTGATGTGCGACTCTCATGCCCCCTCCGCGCTCTGTCCCCCAGGACGAAGGCCCTCCTGGGAACTAGTGGAAACCTTCGGGGACCTCCTGGCAATGCCTGCCCCTCCCCAGAGCTCCCATCCTATTCCAGGACTTACAGGCAGTCCTCGGGGTCCTGGGTAGCTGAGTCCAGGCCTGCCGGGGTCTCCCTGGAGAGGGGTGGGTGGGTCCATCAGGGAAGGTCCAGTGGGAAACATGAATAGTTGGCATGGGCTGAGGGCGGGTGGGGTGGGGCCTTGGGGAGGGCACGTTCCCCTCCAGGGTGAGAACTAGAGCGGCCGCCCAGCCCCCACCGTCCTCCCACACCGAGGGCTGGGGCTGGTAGGTAGGCCTGCTGCAGGCGGTCTCCCTCCAGTGCCGGGCACAGCCTCAGCTCCCCCGTCCCCATCTCTAGCCCAGCCAGGCAGGGCGATGGAGTACCTTCGGGCCAGGCTGTCCCGATTCTCCACGGGGACCAGCATCACCGAGGTCTCCCCGAGATCCCTGAGGGCAGAGAGAAAGCGGGGAGTTGGCACAGACAGACAGACTGCATCCTCTGATCACCAGGCAACACTGCCTTGCTGCCCTGAGGGTCACTGCCTGCTCTCCTCTTCCATGTGCCCCCTTGGGGATCCCAGGCCCCACTGCTGCCTCCTGTTCACCACCCGCAGATAGGTCCTTCAGGACAGGACCAGGAAATTAGGTGCATAGGGACCCTTGGCCCCTGTCCAACTGCCTGTGTTTGCCATGGGGACGGTGTCCTGCAGACGACGGGAGAACCTGAATGGCACTACAGGGCAGGGGAGTTAGACAGCGAGGCTGAAGGACAGACAGGTCTGAGCCCCAGAGCTGCAGGCCCCTCCCAGGTGTTCTGTCACCGACCTGCTTCCCTGGCTCCCCGAGAGCTCCCTGGGGACCTCTGGGTCCAGGCATGCCTCGGTCTCCCTGTAAAGAAAGGGGACCCTGTCATCAACACTGCAGATATTGAAGGGTGGGGCGGGGGGGCCGCTGCCCTCCAGGAGGTCCTGGGCATGGCCTTGGTCCTCAGCCCTGACCACAGCGGTCCTGGCAGGGTTTTCAGGGAGGGAAAGGCAGGGAGGGGCGGGGGGTTCCCCAGCTCAGCCCCCTCCAGCCAGGGTGTGGATGCCACCTGCCACCCTCTTACCTTGGCTCCTTTGCTGCCGATCTCCCCAGGCAGGCCCCGGGGCCCCTCTAAGCCAGGGTCACCCTGTGAGAGGAGAGCCCGGTCATCCAGGGTGTGTGTGGGAGGAGATGCGGGAGGAGAGCACTACACTTCCTGGAGGGGACCCCAGGTTGTGGAGGTGACATTGAAACAGCAGCCCCACTTCTTGCAGCTCGGGCAGGGTCACTACCGGTTCCCACAGGAGGGGTCCTTCCTCCAGCCCTTCACCCACACTACACAGGAAACTCTGATTCTGCCCCTAAGACAGGACGACCTGCCCCAGCTAGAGGAGCATGCGTGTGCAATGGGAGCCTGCAGGTGGAGCAGTTCTCAGTCTTCACGGCTGTGCCATGTGCGCATGGACATGGCCGATCCCCTCCCAGGTTTCTCCGCAGGTAGTGCAGGCAAGGATGCCTGGCTGCCTCTTGCTTTCCCAGACCCTTCAGGGAGTGTCCCCACTGAGAGAGGACTTGGGGTCACTTTTGTTCTCCCTTGTCACAGGGGACCATCAGCACCATGACGGGAACCTGGTGCAGAGGCAGGCATGGCCACAGTACCCTCTGTGTTTCTCCCACATGGATACTCACCTTCTCACCTTTGGGGCCCGCGCTGCCTGGGCTGCCCTTGGCTCCAGGGTCTCCCCTGCGCCCCTGCAGAGAGTGGATGTGTGGGTGGGGGCCACAGGGGGACTCCACACTCTGTTCTATCCATGAGGACTCTGGTTTTGGGGTCTGGAGGCCCCTGAAGAGGGCCTCAGCCTAGACTCTCATCCTCTGCCTGGTTGGTGGGATCCCAGTCAAGGATTTAGGAAATGATGGGGGGCTCCTGGTCCGCTGTCAGTCCAGGTTGACTTTCAGCTAACGTGAGTGGGACCCAGCTTGGACTGGCTATTGGTGCGGTCACTTAGTTCATTTTCAGGCCAGGCTAGGCCACGGGGTGCACCCCTTGGAGGATCAGCCCTGGGACTCGGCCCCCCCTGCCCTGAGGCAGGACACTCTGGGGTTGGCTTGGTGACATGATGATGCTGTGTGGCACCCACAGAGTATGTGCCTCGGACTACCTCTGGGGTGCCCTGCCGGAAGGCAAGGTGAGGGTGCTGGGCCACCTCGTGGGCACTGAGTGGCAAGGGCATGGCTGAGCCCTTCCTCCACTGCAGTAGGCTTGTGGAGGCACACTGGGGACCCCCAGGCTCAGAGGGGCCCAAGCGGGGCACAAGCCAGGGGTGGCTGGGCAGGCAGTGCTCTGGACCCTGGGCTTGAGGGGCCTGAGAGGTGCGGACTCACGGGCTCGCCTTTGGGTCCTCGGGGCCCAGGTCCTCCTTTGGCTCCTTTCATGCCAGAACTTCCTGGGGCTCCGTCGTTGCCTGGGTAGCCCTGTGGAGAGGTGACAACTCAGCCAGGCAGGATGGCCTAGCCCACATAAGCAGATGTGGCCTTACTTGGTCAGGTGGGACTGCGTTTGACTCGGGCAGGAGGTGCCCTGTCCTGTGGCTGCAGGACAGAGAGGCTGGTGGCCAGCTCAGGGCAGGGGCTGGTGAGGGTGCCTGCTGTCTTTCCTGCCCCCCACTTCCATTGGTCTAGCAGACACTGCTGGTGTGTGGCCGGGGCAGGGAAACAGGGACCCCCAGGCACACTTGCCTTGCTTCCCTTGGCCCCGTTGTCTCCTGGGGGCCCTCTGAGTCCTGGGCGGCCAGCGTCTCCCTGGAAGGGTTTGGAGAAATCAGTCTCACGTCCCTTGGATGAGGGCCATGGGGCAGGATTCTGCAGGGGCTGCGGGCACATGCCTCCCCTACCATGTCAGCAGAGCACACTCTTGGGCGGCAGGGCCCCCCACTGAGCTCTGCAGGTAAATTAATCAGACACGGGCCTGGTCTGAGGGTGCTGGCCAGGGGAGTGAATCCAGGCGGGCAGAGGGATGCCTCAGGTGGCCTAAGCAGCAGGACCGCCACGGGCACCGGAGACCCTTCTGCCAGAGCCCCCTGGAGGCCTGGCAGGAAGGTGGGCTTGTTGCAGTGGCCATTCAGGCACCATGCAGCTGCCCGAGCTGGGACACAGGGTTCTGCATTAGACACCGTTGGTGAAGACCTGGGAGGGCACCCTGCAACCTCCTCAGTGTGAGCACCCCGCAGTCCCCAGGCAGGACACTGCTAAGCCTCCCCACCCTGACTGCCTGGTCTGCAGGGACAGGTCCCCTCTGCTGTGCTTCTCAGCCTCGTTACCTGCCCCAGGGGCCGAGCACCGCAGCAGGGAGACGGCCAGCTGGGGGGCAGGGACCCCAGTCTGCTCTGGCCACCCCATGCGGGCTAGGCTGCCTACCTTGGCACCTCGGTCTCCGGGCTCCCCGGGGCTGCCGGCGTCCCCTGGGTAGCCATCAGGGCCCTGTGAGAAAATGGGGAGAGGGGCTGTCCTGGGTGTCTGGCTGAGAGTGGCACTTGGGGTTTCCCCAGTAGCACAGGGCCCACTGACATGGGGAGGGTGACCAGCGCCCCCACCGCTCCCCATTGTCTGGATTGGATGCTCCACCTGGGTCTCGGTGGCCAGAACCCACCAGGCCTGGGCAGGATGACCAGATACACCTCAGAGCCGAGCCCGTCAGGACTCTGGGGAGCAGCTGCCCCACAGGCCATTCCATCCTAACCCAGGCTGATCCCTGGGTGGGGGTCAGGGACAGGCAGGACAGGGCTGAAGAAAGAAACCCAGCTCAGGGGCCCCCGGCTTCCCCACCCCCACCCAGCGCCCGGTGCCTGCGCGGGGTTTTAACGTTAATGCGAAGAGGAGCCAAGGCCACACTTACCCGACTCCCGGGGTCTCCCTTGCAGCCAGGAGGTCCAATGCGCCCCAGCTTGCCCTGAAATAGGACAGGGGGGCAGAAGATGGGTCAGGGGCAAGATTCAGGGGAAGATGCGCCAACAACAGGTGTAAATGGCAGGCACAGTCCAGGCCAGTCTACGAGCATTGGGCTCACACGTGCCACTGTGTGTTTTAATGGCTTGACTGTCACGGTGGCATCTCTGTGGAGGGGGGAGAGTCCCTGACTGTGGCCGTGGCACAAGTTTCCAGGCAGCTTCCGCCATGTGTGCGCGTCCCTGTGTGCATGTGTGAGCACATGCATGTGATGTTTGTGTACGTGTGTGTATGTGTATGAACTGCCACTCAGGCCAATCTGGGGATCTACAGAACAGATGGGGAAGTTCCTGCAAGGCTGGGCCTTGGTTTTCAGATGGAAATGTCCATTCCTGCTCTTGCAGTGGCCTTATTTGTCCTATGTCCCCAGCACAGGCACAAACTGGGACTGCTGAAACCACACATGGTGGGGAGAGGCCAGGCCCCAGGGAAGGACTTGAGAGCCCGAGGGACGCTGCTGTGCACGCCCCCCTGCCCGGCCGGTGATGCCGCCCCAGGAACACTCTACCTTCTGTCCGTCGGTCCCATTCTTGCCGGGCAGGCCTGGGGCACCCTGCGGGGGAGAAGGAAGAGGGGACTCTTGTCAGCCCTGATCGTCACCCCCTTGGGAGGAGCCAGAAGGTGGGGTGCCCTGCCCACCCGGCCCAACACCTGGCTTACCTTCCGCCCATCAGCTCCGAATTCTCCCTGCGCAGAAGGAAAGCGAGGCTGTTACCTCAGGTCCCCAGCATCACAGACCCCTCACCTTAGGGGTCCAATTCTGCCCTCAGCCAAACATGAGGCCAGAAGGATCCCAGAACAAGACCAGCACCAGCAGGAAGCTGTGTCATGACCCCGACAGGAACCAGAGGCTCGCTGAGGATGCTGTGCAGAGCTGGGGCCACAGCTCAAGGAGATGCCTTGTGGAATCTGGCTCCTCGGAGTTGGAATCTCACCTTTTCTCCTTTGAAACCAGGAACACCCTGAGGTCAGAAGGAAAGAAGAGCAGCATTATGGTGGGGTATGTGTGTGGGACCCAGCAGGCCACCAGAGGGCGGTGGTCACCAGCCTCGGGTAGGGAGACAGGGCTGGGGCCCAGGATGGATGTTTGGTTTGGGAACTACACTCAAAATACTGAGGTGCTTCACTTCCTTGAGTTGGAGTAGGGGAAGGTGGGCTGAGGCAGGAACAACTTGACCCTGTGGGCTGGTCCCCCCTGGAGCCGGGCAGCCCTCGGCTTGTCCCCATGTCCCCACCTACCGGGGCAGGGATGGGGGCAACTTGCCTTCGGTCCTGGGAATCCGATGGGGCCTTCAATTCCCGGATCCCCCTGTGGAAGAAGAACAAAGGGCCATGGGCGCAGTTCCAGCCTGGAGAGCAGGGGCTGCCGGGCGGGGCGGCAGGGCGCTTACCTGTCGTCCCTTCTGTCCGGGCTCTCCAGGCTCGCCCATGTTGCCCTTGGCACCCTAGAAAGCGGACAACAGAAAAGGGGTACATTGAGGCAGGGAGGGGCAGGGTAGGCCACCAGAGACCCTGTCACTGGCTTCTGGGAGGCAGAAGAGAGAAAGTCTTGATGTCAGCGTGGCTTGGCTGCTGGCCCCGCCCAGCTGGCAACGCCACATCAGGATATTCCAGAGTAGGGTCAGCGGCCTCCGAGAATCCTGACCTCTGCCAGACCAGGGACCATGGTGGCTGTTTCTCTGAGCTCTGACCCACCGTCCCAGGGCAGAGCGCCTGCCTGACCTCTCCGCAGCAGCAGCAGCTCCAATTCCGCACCGGCCTGGACAGTGCCCACCCTCACCAGTGTCGCTGCCCGCGACACTGACTTGTTTGCTTTATAAGAGCATTTTAATGGCAAATCTTAATTTAACTCTTAACTTTTCTCAAACTGCATTTAAAAGGAAGTAGATAAAATAGAATTTTAGTTCCTCCAGGGTCAGAGGTGTTGAGCCCATCAAAGTTTACTTGGCCCTAAGTTTGTAGTTCAAGAGGGTTCAGGGGCTTCCTGGCAGGGCAGACCCCAGGGCGGTCTGGGTACCTTACCTTCTGTCCGCGGTAGCCTTTGGGGCCGGGCGGCCCGGGGATCTCCAGACAGCTCACCTTGTAGCACTGAAACAAGAAGCAAGTGGCAGCGTGAGGCCAGCATGATGACTTCGGCCGGGAGGGAGAGAGGAAGGGTGCTGTGCGGGCCCCCAGCCCACTGTCCAAGCATGGGGCTGGGTCAAGGACCAGAGTCAGGAAGTGCCCGCCAGGGTGGGGGTCTGCATAAATTCTAGTCAAGTGTTGGAAACCGAGGCTGGGTTGAGTAGCAAGGACTAAACAGCGGCTGGCTAGGCACCCTTGTACCTGCGTGTTACACCACTGTGTTGTGAGCAGCTCTACTAGGGAAGGGTATGCTTGTGGGAGCCTAGCTGAGTGAGAAGCACTCCTTCCGAGGCTGAAGGCTGGAACTGGGGTGCACAGGGATGGGGGGATGACAGGGACCCTGGGCCGCATGTCCCGCAATGAGTGTCTGACCGACCATCTGTCTTCTCTTGGCCTGGCTCAGGGGGATGGAGCCTGCCAGTTCAGAAGGCCACCCTCAGCCTCGACACTCATCCACTTGGCATGCGCTTGGTGGATAACCCTAACGCTGGCCCCCTGGGTTTAAACAGCACAGTTTAGATCAGAAGCCGTCATACCAAACTCAAGAGTCTCAGGCCCTACATGGAGCAGAGGGGTCTCTCTCCCCGGTGTCCAGGGAGTGCCAGGGAGCTGGCAAGACGAGGTGTGTAATCTCTGCTGGGTCAGCACCTCAGAGGGCCCAGGGTGCACCCAGCAGGGCTGGCAGGGACAGAAATGCCTCTCACCTCTCCATAGGCTTCATGTTTCTGCAGGAAAGACGGAGAAACCTTGGTTAGCCATGAGCTGGAGATCAGGGCAGCTGCGCATCTGGCAGGGAAGCCAGGTTATCGGAGCCAGTGGGACCCCAACCAGGCTTAACTCCCTTCAGTCTCCTCACTCACAGAGGGTAGACTGGAGCTGATGCCCAGTGATCAGGTCCCAGGGCTCCTGAGCCCACCCTCCACCCCACGCCTGCGGGTAGACAGTGGCTTGGGAGGATGGGGTGCGGTGGCTGCTTACCATGACCTTGATGATGCGGTTGATGGTATCCTGGTCGATCTCGGTGGAGTCTGGCCGCATGGTGGCGTAGTTGCTGCGGTAGAGCTCGTGGGGCGTGCTGGCGATGTCGCGCAGGCCCTGCTCGTTCAGGTTCTGGTTGGGGGACACAGCGAAGAGCCGGATGCCCTCTTCGCGGGCCCGCTCAGCCTGCAGCTTGATGCCACCACACGGGCTGCCAGTGACATGGCCGTCGGTGATGACCACCGCGAAGTTGACCACGCCCTTGGCCACGTGCTGCCGGATCTCCTTCGTCATGTTGCCCAGCGCACAGTCGGTAAAGGTGCCGCGACGGAAGGAGCGGATGCCATTCAGGCCCCTGATGAAAGAGGCCCGGTCGCTGCCTGGCTGGCTGAACACCTCCACCTGGTCGGAGAAGTGCAGGCCGCCGTAGCGCCAGCTCAGGGCCACCTGGTCCAGGTACAGCTCGTCCTGCAGCTGGCTGGTGAACTGTGGCACAAACTGCTGCATGTGGTAGAGCAGGCTGTCTGTGGGGGACTGCATGGTGACGCTCTCCGAGGTGTCCAGCACAAAGTACACGTTGATGGGGCAGTCGGTTTTCTCTGGGGGACACAGGAGGAGTCACGCGGCTGCACACTGAGGGCCTGCAGGGGGTCATCCTGGGACCCCACTCACGTGGGTGGTCCTGGGCTCTGCCTCACACCGGCCACCCATGGACGCAGGGCCCTGGCTCCCCACCGGCTGTCCTGCTGTCCCCTTTGCTCCCCACAGGAGCCCCAGCCCCCGCAGCTGTACCTGGGCAGCTGTTTCTCTCTGAGGTGTCCGGCTGTATGACCTCCTGCTGCTGAGCATGCAGGGTCCCCAGGAGCCCCCAGAGCAGGAGGGCAGAACAGGAGCTTCGGAGCATCTTGGCAGCACCCATGCTCCCTGACATCCTGCAACAGGGAAAAGTGGCTGCTGCAGACAGCGCCCCGCCTGGCAGGTCTTGGCGCCCTTCAGTGTTCCCAGAGCCCTCCGCCCCCAGATGGTGGGAGTGGCACACACAGCACCGAGGCTCAGCATTCCTGGGCTGGGCGGGGAGGGGGCGGCCCACAAACATTTAGTGGGCTCAGAGACTGCCAGCTTTAGGCTCAACTCTGGGTGGGATTAGCACGTCCCGCGCTGTCCCTACCCTAGAGGCTGGGTCTGGAAGACAGGTAGATTCTCGGGAACTCAAACAGTTGACTGTATTGTGAGAACAGAGCACCATGCCCGGGGTGGGAAGGAGGGCGGGGGTGGTGCCCAGGAGTCAGCAGGGGCTGACTGGGAGGAGAAGCGGGCGGCAGCGCTGAGAGAGGCCCAGGCCAGGATGAGGGGCAGGCTTTGGTACCTGATTCCAGCATCCAAATGACCCCACACTGACCAGTGAGGGAAAATGGCCTCTGGGATGGAATATAGGGGCAAAGATGCAGACAGGCCTGGGGGCTGGCAGGCAGTGGGTGCTCAGGGTTGGGGGGCCTTCCCCAGAGCCGGGTCGCTGTGCTGGGGCACGTTTCCACAGATCTGAGCTTTCCCTGCCCCTCCCTGCCCTCTGTGCCCAGGCCCCCCTTGCAGGCACACAGACAGGCAGGATACCTGGAGGCGGGGGCGGGCCAGCTGGTGGGGCTTCGGGGACCAGATGTGAGAGGAATGGAGACTCTCTGTGGGAAGGTGGGGGAGAGGTGTGGCCTGGCTGTTCTGGTGGGGAACCCCACAACCTAGTTCAGACAGGCCACCCTCCAGCTGCCTCTCAAGGCCCTGGGAACACAGAGCAGACCCAAAGAAGATGTGCGGCCCTGCCATGAACTTGGGGCCCTGCTGGTGGGGAGAGGCACTAGCTGTCTGGACCTTCACAGGGCCGGGGGTGAAGGGTGGTGCCTGGAGAGCTTTGGGGGGAGGCAGAGACACCAGGGGCACTTCAGTGAAGTTTTATGGGTGATGCCCCTTAATGCTGTGGGAACCTCTCACTTTCAGAGGAGGTGGGTTTGGGGTCCAGTGTTACTACACCTGGGTTTACAGGGAGGGGACTAGTCTTGGCATAGTTAGGGGTGAACAGGACACGACCCTGTGTCCCTGAAATGGAGACATGGTGAGGGCAAGAGGCCGTGATCCTGCAAGCAATAGCTGTGACCCTGTAGGCTGAGATCAAAGCAAGCTCAGCAGAAGCCCCGGGGAATCCAGGAGGGTTTCCTGTAGGAAGTGAGAGATGCGCTAGGCTGAGGAAACTGGCCAAAGGAAAGGAGCTCCTGGCTGAGCAGAGGCTGGTTCAAAGAGGAGGGCTGGGGGCCACACAGTAGAGGAGGGGCCGAGAATGTAGAGTGAGGGGCAGACCAGGACCCTGAACAACCTGGAAGCCATGAGGGAGTTGGGCTGCCGCCATCAGAGCTAGTGGGTCCAGAGCCATGGACCACTGGCAATGGCCGCTGCGGGGCCTTAGTCAGGGAGGCTGTTCAGGGCTGAACACCAGGATGTGGGCACAGCTCCATCTTCTAAGGCCCCTCATCCTGCTGCCCCCATGGGGGACAGAGTACAGTCGGGGGGCCGGGGGGCCCACCCTGGCCCATCTGCTACAGGCTGGGGAGGAGAGGACCAAGGGGCCAGAAAAGCTGCACCCAGGTTGGCCTTACTCTCCATGCATGTGCGTATGTGCACACCCTCACACGCCCCTTATCACACACATGTGCCACATACACATTGCACACACATCACATGCCATACACATCACACACGCACACTTATACACAGATACATCACACACTTAATAAGTTAAAAGACACCCATATAGTAAGTGCACTAGTAGAAAATCTTAATCTTTGCTCTCATCCAAAAGGAGAATTTAAAAAAAGAATTTTTCATTACAATTTCATTGTAGTGGAACATTTCAAAAATATCTACATAGAGAATTAACATAATAGCAACAAGATACAAAAAACACCGAAAGGGAAAAATTATTTTGGTATTGTGGTAGACAGCATCCAAGATGGTCCCCGATTATTCTTGCCTCCTGGAATCCATGCCCTTATGGAGTCCTCTCACACACTGAATTGTCGTTGGCCTATGTGACTGACAGAATAACCTGGAAGTAATAGTGCGTAACATCCAAGACTAGGTCATAAAAGATACTGTGCCTTTTGCCTGGCTCTCCAGGATTGCTTGCTAAAGGGGAAGCCAGCTAAACACGAACCCTCTCAAGCAGCCTTTGTAGAAGCCCTTGAGAGGAGGAACTGAGGCCTCCAGGCAACAGCTGGGGGAGTGAGCCATGTTAGAAGCATACCCTCTGTCCCAGTCGAGACTTCCTGTGACCCTGACGCTGGCCAATGTAGATCATGACTGTACCTCATGAGGACCCTGAGCTAGAGCCACCCAGTCAAACCACTCTTAAATCCCTAAACAAAATAAATTTTGAGATAGTAAATGCTTTTTGTTATCAGTTACTAAGTTGAGGTAATTTATTATGTAACAATAGATAACTAATACAGGCATCAAATCCCAGCGCCACAGCCCCCCAACCCCGCCCCCCCGCCCCCGCACAACATTGTAGACAGAAGACAATAAGATAATAACTTTGGAATTTTGAGAAAAACAAAATGAACTAACAATATCTTCCCAGTCAACTCATCTTTCATGTACAAGAATAAAAGTCTCAAGTGAAAATGGGCTCAGATCAATACTGCCTCTATACCATTGTTTAAAAAAATCTGCAAGGAATTTCTGCAGATAACAGAATAAGTAAAAAGGCAAAAAACCTTGAGAAATACCATAAAATATAGAAAATGAAGGGAAAAAGAGTCAGGAAGCATACAGTTAAATACCAGAAATATTACATAGATTGTTTGTGACAATAAATGTCAGTGGTTTAAACTCTCTCATTAAAGACAAAGATTCCTAAGTTGAGTAGAAAAATGAAACCCATGTCAATGATGTTTATGAGAGTCATACTTTAAATTGAATGTCACAGATGATGCTAAGAAAATGAAGTGGGGACAAGTGGATGCAAATGAAAAGAGAGGGACAGTATTGTGTGAGACTGGGTAGAATTTAAGACAGAAGAATGAAAGATATTTAAGAATATCAGTACTTCTAACTAAATATAAAAATGAATAAAAATTTTGATTAAAATCTTCAAGAAAAGTTTTTGGTGTTTTGCTCCTATGTATTGGCAAAAATAAATCTAAGATTCATCTGGAAGCATAAGTAAAAGTAGCTCAGGAAAAAAAAAGGGTGATGAGGAAACACACTATGAAGTACAAATGATACAGTCAATTTACAGCAATTAAACATTTGTGGTTTTGGTGCTGGAATGGGGCAACTGACCACACAGCAGTGGGAATGGCAACATACACAATTGGGGAAATGAGATGGTGGCCTTCTGAGCAGGAAAAGGGCTGGGACAAGGGCTCACAATGTGAGTAGAAATAAAGGTAATCCAACCTCATACAGGACACCCAAATAAATACCAGGAGAAGGAACTGAGTGCAAAACATGGACCAAAAAAGTCTTTGAAGAGAACAGAAAGGATGGAATGACAACATAGTATCTTCCATAGTTACTCTCCACCAGACACTGTGCTGTATCACTTAGCACTCACAACAGTCCTTGGACATGGGTGCTATTAAAACACCATTTCGTAGGTGAGGAAACTGAGAGTAAGTATAGGTAACTTGTTCAAGGTGTTCAGCTAATAGCTGAGGTCCAAACCCAGGGAGCTTGGTCCAAGTTTGCACCCTTGATAACTGGGCTTCCACATGTGACCTTCATTACAACAAAAGCAACATTAGCAGAGTGGAAAAAGACCAAGAACCAGACAGCAGGCTTCCAAATTCATGATCAAGATGTTATATTCTTAAGGTTTAAAATTTCTGATGGCCTGTTATTAGGTGTGTAAATGTTTATAGCTGTCATATCGTCTCATTGTATTGAACATTTTATTCATATATAATATCTTCATTTGTCTCTTATGTTTTTGATTAAAGTTCCTTTTATCTGATACTAATATAACCACCCCTGAATTCTTTTGGTGCATGGAATAACCTTTTCACTTTCACTTTCTACTTATTTGTGTCTTTGGATATACAGGGAGTATCTTGTAAAAAGCAATATAGTTGAATCATTTTTTGCAAAAAAAATCATTTTTTTCCTAAATGCATTTAAAAAATTTTGCTATTTGTTAAAATGCGTTTTTAGCAAAAAAAAATCCATTCTGCTAGTCTCTGTCTTTTGATTGGAGAGTGTATCCATTTATATACAATTAAAGTAACTACTGATAAGGAGATGCTTACTTTTGTCATTTTGCTATTGTTTTCTATATAACTTACAGCTTTTTTGTTCCTTATTTTCTGCATCACTTTCTTCTTTTGTGTTTAGTTGTGAAAAATCAAAAACATTTTTTCAGGTACAATTTACATTCAATATTATTTTATATTAGTTTCAGGTGAAAATGATATCTTTATATACTGTGTGTCCAAAAACATAAACAAATATTTTTAATACATTAGTCCCTTAAATTATGTAGAAAACATAGTGTGAAGTCATAAACCAAAGTTATAATTATACTAGCTTTTAGACTAATAATTGTTTTTTAAAAAGTATTCATTTCTTAAATCATGTAGAATGCTAAAAGTAGAGTTATACATCATTGTTACAATAATAGTTTTTATAATTGCTCACACAGTTATTTTCATTGAGATCTTTATTTCTTCATATGCTTCAAGTTACTGTCTAGTGTCCTTTCATTTCACCCTGCAGGGTTCCCTTGAGCATTTCTTGCAGGGCAGTTCTCGTGTTAACAAACTTCCTCAGCTTTCTGTTTATCTGGGAATATTTTAATTTCCCTCTCTTTTGGAGGACAGTTTTGCTGGTATAGGATTCTTGGTTGAAGGTTTTTATTTTCTTTTAGTATTTTGACTATATCAGCCCA